CTCTTCAAAATAGTAATGGAAAGCTGAGTCACAATTAGACAAGAAAAACAGATAAAAAGTACCTAAACTGGGATAAATACATTAAAATTATCCATTTGCAGATGACATGATGTTCAATGTAGAAATGCCTGGAGAACCCACAAAACACCATCCCAAAAAATAAAAATAAAAAAACTCACCAAAATTGTTAGAATAAACAAATTCAGCAAACCTTCAGGAAACAAAACCAATACAAAAATCAGTTGCATTTGTACATTTTAACGACAAACAATCCTAAAAGGAAATTAAGGAAATAACTCAATTTATAAAGCAAAGAATACTTATGACTAAACCTAAAAGAGATGAAAGACTTATACATTAAAAGCTACAAAGCACTGCTAAAATAGATTAAAGATACCAATAAATGAAAAGACACTCCATGTTGATGGATTGGAAGACTTAATATTGTTAAGATGTCAATACTACCCAAAGTATAGCTACAGATTGAATTCAGTGCCTATCAAAATCCCATGATGCTTATTGCAGAAATAGAAAAGTCTATTCTAAAATTCCTATGAAATCCCAAACAGTTGAAACAATCTTAAAAAACAAAGCTGGAGGACTCACACTTCCTAACTTCAGAAATTACAACAAATCTACAGTAATCGAAACAGTATTGTAGTAAGGACAGAGAGAGATATACGGGATAGAACAGAGTTCAGAAATAAATCCTTGCATGTAAGGTCAAATGACTTTCAACAAGGATGCCAAGACCATTCAATGAGGAAATGACAAGTCTTTTCAACAAATGGTGCTGAGAAAACGGGATATCCACATGTAAAAGGATGATGTCTGACCTTATCCTACACAGTAAACAAAAATTAACTCAAAATGACCGAAAGACCTAACCGTAAGACCTAACTAAAATGACCCAAAGACCTAACCATAAGACCAAATGACAGAACTAGAATGAAAAATTAGAACGAAAACAGGGCAAAAGCATTAACACATTGGATTTGGCAATCATTTTTGGATATGACACCAAAAGCACAGGCAATAAAAAAGCAAATAAATTGGACTTAAATCAAAATTAAAATAATCTGTGCATCAAAGTACACAATCAACAGAGCGAAAAGGCAACATATAGAATGAAAGAAAATATTTGCAATTCATAGGTCTGATAAAGTGTTAACACGAGAATACATGAAGAACTCCTACAACTCAACAGCAAAAAACCAACCCCATCTAAAAATGGGCAAAAGACTTGAACAGACATCTCTTCAAGGAAGATAATACAAAACATTAATAAGCACACTAAAAGATGTTCAACAAGCCGGGCTCCGTGGCTCAGCTTGTAATCCCAGCACTTTAGGAGGCTGAGATGAGTGGATTGCCTGAGCCTGAGGGTTTGAGACCCGCCTGGACAACTTGGCAAGACCTCATCTCTACAATAAGTCAAAAATTAGCCGGGCGTGGTAGCGCACACCTGTAGTTCCAGCTACTGGGAAGGCTGAGGCGGAAGGATCGCCGGAGCCCAGCAGGTCGAGGTTGCAGTGGCTGGGAGCAGCCACTGCACTCTAGTCTGGGTGACAGAATGAGACTCCAACTCAAAAAATAAATAAAATAAAATAAAATGTTCAACATCAATAATTACGGAAATGCAAATTAAAACAATGAGATACCACCTCATAGCCAACCAGATGGCTACTATTAAAAAAAAAAAGCAACCCATAAAATTTCAAGTGTTAGCATGCATAGAAACTTGAATCCCAGTGTGCTGTTGGTGCAGGCCCTAAGAAATATTATGTGAATGTTACACTTCCTCAAAAAATTAAAAATAGAATCACCATGTAACCCACCAATTCCACTTTCGGTATTTATGCAAAATAATTGACAGAAGGGTCTTGAACAAGTATCTGTACATCTCTGATCATAGTAGCGCTGCGCACAGTAGCCAAAGGTGGAGGTAACCCCAGTTCACTGGTAGATGAATGGATACACAAAATGTGGTATATTTACACAATGGAATGTTACCCACATTAAAGTGGAGAAAAACTCGGACACGTGCTACAACATGGATGGACTTTGAGGACGTTATACTAAGCGAAGTAAACCAGTCAAAAAAGGACAAACACTGCATTATTCTATCTATATTCCATAGCTAGAAGAGTCAAAATCATGGAGACGAAAGTACAATGACCACAGTAGAATGAGTAAGAGCTGGGGGGAGAACGGATGGGAGTTGTTTAATGGGTAGAGTTAGTTTTGCAAGATAAAAAGATTTCAGATGGATGGTGACAATGGCTGTACAACAGTGCGGACATGCCCAATGCCACTGAACAGGAAGTACGCTTAAAAATGGTTACAATGACGAATCTTATGTTAAATAAAGATGATTCTGTAACACCCTGTCCAAGTGGTCAAAGTTAACATCACCAAATCCTGGGACACACTAGAGTCCGTGTTCTTGGGAGAAATATGCTTAAGTATGTGGGGCCTGAGACACAAACTGTCAGCAAGCTACTCTCATCTGGGTGTGCAAATAAGTAAGTTGGACTAAATAAAAATTAAAACCATCTATGCATAAAATTGCACAATCAACAGTGAAAAGACAATCTACAGAAACAAAATATTTGCATGTCATATATCAAAGCATTAACATCAGAATATACAAAGACCTCCCACAACTCAGTAAGAAACCCAACATTATGCATACATAAGTTAAAAAAATGTGGCAACATGATAACACTTGGTAATTATCAGTGATGACTGTATAGCTTATTATGCTACCTTAGCAACAATTATACATTGGAAATATTTCAAATTAAAAAAGTTTTTCTGGCCAGCCAGGTTTGAGATGCCCTAAATAAACCTTGTACTAAGTAAGCATCATTTATACAGAAACTAACAATTTTTCTTTCAAAAACTGGAGAATCTCTCATTTAAGTTTTTACTTTATTACTTGGAAATGTCTTATCCTATAAAAGTGAACTCTTCAGTTAATTGGAGTTTACCCCATGAAATCCCCAAATGGCATAACTTTAAAATCTTAAAAACTACCTTCTCACCTTTAATAATGATCAATATCCATAAAGTACCACTAGTTGGCTGTTTTTTTGGTTTTTTTTTTTTCCTGAGTCGGAGTGGCACTCTGCTGCCCAGACACACTCACAGCCACAGCAGCCTAGACCTGCTGGGCTCAGGTGATCCTACCGCCTCAGCCTTCCAAGTAGCTACAACTACAGGCATGGGCCACCACACTTGGCTAATTTTTCATTTATTGGAGATGAGGTCTCACCAAGTTGCCCAGGCTGGTCTTGAACTCATGGGCTCAGGCAATCCTCTCACCTCGGCCTCCCAAAATGCTGGGATTATAGGCATAAGCCACTGTGCCTGGCCTGCTTTTTCAAATGTTTTTATATAAAACATTGCAGAAGTTTGGGCTTTTGTCTCCATCTAGTGGTTCACTATTACCTTCTAATGCGTTTATGTACATGCTTTTTACAAAGTATTATATTCTATTTATGCTTTTTTTTTTTGAGACAATTTCACTGTTGCCCATGCTGGAGTACAGTGGCATGATTATGACTCACTGCAACCTTGATCTGGGCTCAAGTGGTTCTCCTGGCCTAGACTCCTGAGTAGCTGGATGCCATCATGTCCGGATAATTTATTTTTTTGTAGAAACAAGTTCTCACTATATTGCCCAGAGTGGTCTCGAACTCCTACCCCTAAGCTTGAGAAGTTTTCATGAGTAGTGTTTTAGTGCACAAACTTATGCATGTTATTTTAGCAGTTTAGTTTGATGGTAAGTCTTATTTGTTTTTGAAAACCAAGGTACCAACTTGGATCTGAGCAGGATTTCTGTAAGATAGTTTAGTGAAAAACTTTTCTTGGGTTTATTGTGACCTATCAAAGATCTCTCACAATTGTCTGTAGCAACTACTAAGATAATAAGAGCATCACAAAAATAGAGCAATAAGATGGCCGCAAACTAATTCTTCTTTCTCCTCATTGCCCAACTGCTCTAAGAAATTGGTATTCTGACTTTCAATCACATCCATGTTTCCTCTAAGACAATATTTCTTCACCCTTTTTCCATGATGACCCCAGCCGAAGAAAAATTTAAATTAAGATGAAATAATTATCCCCTAGCAGAAGCACACTAAAACTTGAGATTCTGCTGGTTATTTCCTTTCAACCCCAACTGGGATACTACAACTCAATTCTGAAGCAACCAGATCGAGTGCTAGAGTCCACCAGCTTAAGGGCTTGGTCATCCACAGGACTGCCCACATTTCAGATGCCAGCCACAAGGGAGGTATCCAGGCCATCGCTGCTTCTGACCGACTGGCTACAAATCTGGGTTCCCACAACTCTCTCAGGTCCGAGAAGTTGCTAAACTGATTCACAGAACTCAGGAAAGCACTACACTTACGAGTTTCCTACAGAGATGCACATCAGGAGGACCAGCCAAGTGGAGGGACACACAGGGGGAAACCTGGGAGGAAATGCAGAGCCTCTGTGCCCCTCTCCCCCGTCAGGGCCCCTAGCTCTCCAGCCCACCAGTGCACTCACCAGCCAGGAGGCTCCACTGGGTTTGATGTCCAGAGATCTTAACGGAGGACTCGCCAGGCAAGCACGGTGGGTGAAATGAAATAGGCCATGTGACTGGATCTCAGGCTCCCAGGTCCTGCTAGCTCAAAGTTTCAATCCTCTAATTAGGTGGTAAGGTCTTTCCAGTGACCAGCCTTCAACCTCAAACTATCTAGGGGCCCACCATGAGTTGCCTCATTAGAATAACAAAGACACTCCAGTCACTCAGGAAGCCCCAAGGGTTTTGGACATTTCTTGTCAGGAACCAGGGAAAAAGGCAAATGGCTCATTATACCACAGTCAGGTAGAATTGACCTTTGAAAGGTCACAAACCACTGTAACACCGTAAGATTTTTCCACCCACCAGAAACCAATTTTTGTCCCTATTATGAATGCATCCTCTAAGACAATGAAGAGACAGCCCCCCAAAACCAGAACGAAATTTTATTGTGTAAAGTTTACAGAAGTATGACTAGTATTTCTCTGTACAAAGTACACAACAAATGGTTTTAAATATAACTGAGAGAAATGCGAGTCCTGTGACAACATGTGATACAAGCTGAACCATTTACAGACACACTAAAATTTTTAAAAAATATCTTCTTTCTCCAGAGTCCACTGCGCATTTCTTAGAGTAGTGATGGGGACACGTCCCAGGCAAGGTCACAATGGCATTTTATTGCCCTCGATGCTGATTTTCACTGCGTGTGCAGATCTGCTTTTTTTCCTGATATCTGTGAACTTTCTCATCTGTTTATCCAGTCGACTGATACCTTTCTTGGAGGTTGCCTGAAACTAAGAGTGGGGGAAAAATTAAAGAGCAAACTACTGAAATACATAAAGGTAGTTTTGTCTTTCATCTCCCCATATCTGAAAGTCGGCATTCAGGAGAGCGCCTAGCTCTAGAATAACCAGATGCATTCTTGGTGACTTCAAGAATAACAGAACAAGTATACGCAGTGTCAGAAACACATGTTAAACTTTCTCAATGAAGAATAATTCTGCTGTTTGTGCTTTATTTTTAATTTTACCACAGCCCACGGAAACCTCCTGGATGAAAGAAAGGGGGAAAGTTGAGACTCTGATCCTCCCAATTCCATTATCTACATTATATTACATCTCTTTGTTCCTCCCTTCCAAAGACCAAGTTTGGAGCTGAGCACATACACTGTCAAACAGTACTGGCATAAAAAAGGATCATCTTTTAAAGCAAAGGAAAGTCATCTGAGGAAAAGTCTCAAGCATAATAAACAGAATGAGAGAATTAGAGAAGCAAACCGGTACGTGAGGCTCTATAGAGTTTTAGACTTGGGGTGAATCCCTGCTCTGCCCCAGCAAGTTCTGTAACCCTCAGCAAAGCATACCCTGGCTGGTAACTCCTTCCAGGACTGCTGAGAGAAGGAAATGAGATAGTGAGTCAAACCCAAGCAGAGTTAAGCACACAGTCAGTACTCAAACTAAAAGGGATGTAGTGCTATTATTACTACTTCACAAGCAACTAGATTCACATTAACTATACATACTTGACTTAACTAAGGGTTGGTTTTGGGGCTAGTTCTTTCTTTCTTTCTTTCTTTTTTGGAGTTTAGAGTCTCACTCCAAAGTGCTGAGACTACAGGCTGAGCCACTGAGCCTGGCCTGGGCCATTTCTTTATATCCTGAAAAGACTGTATGCGTTACAAAGATGTGATCTCCCAGAAACTGACACCTTTTAGAAATGTTGAAAAGGCCAGGTGGGGTGGCTCACACCTGTAATCCCAGCACTTTGGGAGGTAGAGGTGAGAGGATTGCCCAAGCCCAGGGATTCGAGACCAGCCTGGGCAACTTGGCGAGACCTCGACTCTACGATAAATCAAGAAACAATGTGCCCTGATTTTAGCATCAGCGGTCAGTCTGCACTGGAAGCCTCACCCACTCAAGTCTCTGCCTGCTCCCAGATACCCAGCAGCTCCACACACCAACCTGGCCTCTTACCTTTGCCTGCTTCCAGGACCTCTGCTATAGTCTGAGCCCTGTTGGATCTGTCTAGGCTCAGCTAGACACAAAGATGAGTGCCAGCCTACTCCTCGTGACAATACATATGACTCCTAGCTGACAGATGCTTTGTTACCCCAAGCCTGAAAATTACAAAAGCCATAGTATCTAACATGCTAAATTCAATGATCTCCCTCTCAACTCATCACTCTATGCCATACTTCTTCAGGACATTAAAAGTGTATGATGCACTGTTTTACGAGAGAAAAACAGCTTAAATTACGGTACAACCTTTGATGACACAATATGAAATCACTAAAGAATGCTTACTGACATGGATTTTGACCATTTTAAATAAAAAACAAAGAAGCCCAACAAAGTATAAAAGAATATGATCTTGAAATAGAAAAAGTAATGTTTACACACGCATATAAAAAGGATAAAAAAAAAAACCCCAAAATGTTAACATTCAATTGTAGTGGGATTAAAGGTGACAATTTTATCTCTGCTTTCTGTATTTTTAAAAGGTTACGCAAAAACACATACTGCTTTTGTCACTTTAATGCTACTTTAAAAGCATTCCATAGGCTAAATTAACATATACAGATACAATGTAGTGCAGGTTACTACATTATTTAAGAATGAGAAACCATAGAGGAATGAATAAACAAATTATGACATATTCACATGATAGACCATTATGTAACCATTAAAAATAATAAATCTACAAAGTGGTTTAATGCAAGGAAATGACCAAAATAACGTACAGTACAATTTTATAGAAAGTATCAACAGAAAAAAGGCAAAAAATGTCAGAATGTTTTTGATTGGGAGGACCATGAATAATTTTTCTCTTTATAACCTTAAAATTGCCTACAATTATAAAAACTCAGTTTGAGGCATAACTGGAAATACACATCTAAAACCTCAAATTGTAACAGTGGTGATTTAGAGGAAGAACAGGACTTTGGGTTACTCTATAGTGTTTTATCCTTATTTATCCGATTTCAGAGATAAAAATATTGGCAGAGTTCAGTGACTCATGCCTGTAGTCCCAGCACTATGGGAGGCTGAGGTGGGAGGTTCACCTGAGCCCAGGAGTTCAAGACCAGTCTGGGCAACATAGCAAGAGCCTGTCTCTATTTTTTAAAAATTGTATTAAATAGAAATATTTAAAACAAAGTGTTTCATTTGAAAGCCATTACTCTCTCCATTTTTCTCCTTGGACCTGTGTTTCCTAATAATATGCATTAGTGTCTGCAATGTGGAAGCCTGAGTGAGAGTGCAAGAAATCTTCCTGAACAGGGAGGCAGTGTCAGGTGGTTTAAGGATAAATAAGTAAGCCGGGCTCGGTGGCTCAGCCTGTATTTCCAGCACTTTGGGAGGCTGAGGTGAGTGGACTGCCTGAGCCCGCAGGTTCGAGACCCACCCGGGCAACTTGGCGAGACCTCATCTCTATAATAAATCAAAAATTAGCTGGGCATGGTAGTGTGCGCCTGTGGTTCCGGCTACTTTGAAGGCTGAGGAGGAAGGATTACTGGAGCCCTGCAGGTCGAGGCTGCGGTGACCAGGAGCGTGCCATTGCACTCCAGTCTGAGCGAGGGAGTGAAACTCCAACTCAAAATAAAAAAAGGATAAATAAGCAGGAGTGCAACACAGGATCATCAGCCCCTAGTGCATGGCTTTTTCTTCTGGGCAGAGCTCTACAGGCCATGCTGAGGCTTCGATAAATTACCTGCACATAACAATTATGTGGGGTTGTTGGAGATGCAGAAAAGGAGCCCTCCTTGAGTTTTCCTCCCTTCTCACTCTAGTAGGAGGTTGGTCACTCATCCCACCTCCCTCCACCTGCAAGGAGGTGGGACCAGGTGCTTGGCCCTGCCGGGCATGACGTATGCTTCCAAAGGAGCAGACTGGTCAAGAGCTTTACTACATTTTTTTGCCATCCAGAAATTCCTAATTCTCAAAGATAAAAGTACTGGGGAAGGAAAATATTATAAAGAAGAGGGTATACATAAAGAGGGAAGAGACCATGAAAAAAAGGAGAAAGGGGCCCAAGAGAAATAGGGATGGATGGGGCAGGGACACCAAGAAGATGTGGCCAGGGGACAAGGAGATGAGTGCAAACAAGAACAAAGAAAGGAAGCACAGACAGAGGAGGACGTTCTCGGCACAGAACTAATCCTCCTCTATCCTTTACTTATTCTCAAAAAATAAGAAAGCATGCCTTGCTTGATGGCCACTCAACAGCAAAGTGAACTGGCAGGAAGGTGAGTGAAGTCCATGGGAACAATTGCCAAAGCAGGGGCCAGGGAGAAGCACAGAAGGCAGGCAAACACACACAGGCTCTCCTCTGTGCGCACTGCAACAAAGGAACCACCAGTAATCTCAAAGCACAGTGTGTCAGCGAGTCTGGCCTACAGACGTTCTAACATCCATTATTTTTGTTGAGCAGGAGGTCTCGCTCAGTTGCATGATCACAGCTCACTGTAGCCTCAACCTGCTGGGCTCAGGCAATCTTACTGCCTCAGTCTCCGGAGTAGCTGGAGGTGTGTGCCACTACACACTACACACTACAGGTGTGTGCCACTGTGCCTAGCTAATTTTTAAAAATTTTCTGTAGAGATGAGGTCTCGCTATGTAGCACAGGCTTTAAAGTCTTTTTTTCATTTCTGACCATGTTCTGTGTACTAATCAAATAATCAAATTCATCTTCTAAATATTCAGCATCAGGATTTATGCAACGAGTCTTCAAATGTGTGCTGCTGAGCCACTGACAAAAGGAAAACAAACCACCCTCCTTCCACGAAGAAGCCACTAACCAGTTTATATGCCTAGAATGCAGACCATTACCATTCTGTGTCCTAACAAAAACCTTTCCCACCAAAACAAGTACCAGCCAGGAAGACCAAAATGCTTACCAGGGAAGTAATTATCTATTAGACTCTAGATTACTGAGGAAGGCAGGGACTTCCATGTCAATTTCTAAACATTCAGTAAGAGGCCTTTAATGTGCCAAGGTGCCTGTTAGGGTCATTATTTCAGAAACTAAAAACTGGGCTGGCCTTTTCTGATTAAGAAAGCGCGCGCGCGCACACACGCACGCACACACACACACACACACACGCTGGCCTTTTCTGATTAAGAAAGCGCGCGCGCACACACACACACACACACACGTTTTCACTGACTGCTAACAACTCAAGCCCATGCACAGTGCATGCTTCCTTGGGGATACCTCTTGGATACACTCTGGTAGGGCCAGGCCTACAGGGGCATCCTGTTGCCTTCAATGCTGAACTTGACAGCACGATGCACTTTGCTGAGTCGTTTCTGTTCTGCAAATCGTCTCTTATGCTTTTCCAATCGGCTTAGGCCCTTTTTAAGAATACCAGGCTAGAAAGAGTAGTTTGATTAGAGAATAAAAAAGATTACTGAGCAACACTCAGTAGTGTTTACAATGATGTCAGAGGAAGTGTCTACCCTAAGATATTTCACAATAGAATTGCTTCAACAGTTGAAGAGAAAGGGAGCGGTAGACTTCCAGAAGCCGGTAAAGTTCTTTCTCCTGATTCTAAAAAACAAACAAACAAAAAAACTACTCTAGGCCTTAAGATTCACTTGAAGTAAAGGGGATTAATAAGAAGAAAATTCTTTACTGGATAATGTTGCTGTAAACATGAAAAAAAGTTCATCAGCAGTTAACTTTAACCAAGGGTAAGTAATACTTTTCCTTTTTCTGACTGCTCGATTTGTAACTTGGCTAGACAAAAGATCAGAAAACAGACCTCTATGAATCAGATAAACCGCAGGAGCAATGAGTGTTATTAAACACGAAGTGGAAAATAAAACAGTAATCTGCATCTGATCCACTTTGCTGTTCCTCTGAGTGCTTACCCTGGATGACTCCATTTCCACATTCCACTTGGGCCTGACAACATAGTCCTTGTTTGAGGGCATCGGCACCCTAGCCCGGGCACAAAATCCAGGATCTCCAGGTCTAAGAGCCCTGAGAAAGGGAAGAGAAACATGCTGCTTATGTAGCCAGCTGCAGGGGGGCCCAAGGGCCATTTCAGACCCTTGTTCTAGAATCCCCTCCATTCAGCTGCAATGCTTCAATGCCCCTCAAGGTCACCTAATGTCCCCCCCATCTCTCTTAGCTAGCCTTGTCATCACACTCATTACTGTATGAATTCCTCGCTTCCCTTGCAAAGCCAACTTCCTCTGTATTTGCATGAATCCTTTTTGCCTTTCCTCAACTTCAGATATAATCACGCACGCCCCTTTCCCTTCCAAGGCTGGTCCTTCCAGCAGGATTTGGAACCCTAATTTCTCTGGTCTAATGAACTCACTCACAAGTTTACTTGTGAGATGAAAAATCAGGCAGTCAAAATGACCCCCTAAAACTGAGTATACTCATAAAATAGTTCACATGATTTTGCATATGGAACTCATATAGTAATTTGTTTATTTTTGTAAAAAATCTTTTAGAAATAATTACAGAATCACACGATATCACAGAGAATCAAATGATACAGAGGGAGATCCAATGTCTCTCCCAATGGTAACAATTTGCAAAACCAGAGTATAAGGTAAACACCATAATACTGATGTTGATAAAATCCATTCATCTTTCATTTACAGATTTATTTTTATTTTTTTGTAGAGACGAGATTGTGTGCTGTGTTGCCCAAGCTGGTCTCAAACTCCTGGTTTCAAGCAATCCTCCTGCCTTGGTCTCCCAAAGTACTGAGACTACAGGCATGAGACACTGTGCCCAGCCCAATTCTCTGATCTTATTTACATTTCTGCAGTTTTACTTGCACTCATTTGTGTGTATTTAGTTCTATGTAAATTAGAGGGCAACCATGCTGGACTAAAATAAGATTACCATCTTTGAAGTAAACTCTATCTGTAGATGTCTGGGCGTGCAAACTCCTCAACTTTGGGTAACTGCCTCTAGTGGTAAAAGGGGAATGGGTGCATGTGTGTGTCTACCGGGGGTGGGCAGGGAACAGCAAAACATTCTCAATTGTTTCTATTCCCTTCTTGAATGCACCCTGTGGTATTCTTTCTCAGCAGCAATGCAGTAACCACTTAGTGTGCCCCATCTGTAACATTAAGCTTCTACAACCTTCATACGTGTGTGAGCAGATTGTCTTGACAAAGAAAATTCCCTATTACTTTTATTTCCTCCTGAAGCCACTGCCTCATCATCAACTTATCTGCAAACTACACTGATCCCTCTCACTCGTTTCCCGTTCTCCTCCTGCCATCTGGGTGGTGCCTGTCTGCCAACTCACTTGCAAAAACCTCCGCAGCACCTGCCACTGCCCTACGCCGTCATCACTGTCCCCTCTGGTGCAGCCTCATTCGCCTCCAGATTCAGCCCAGGACCACAGCCACTCACGCACCTTCACTGGCTACTCTCCTTTTCACAGTTGTTCACTTCATGTCTTACTCTATGCCTTCCCGAATCAGCAATCCTTTCTATGGAGAAAACCATCAAATCCATGTCTCTAATCCAAGTATCTCTTTATTTATCTAGTTTTTTGAGTCGGGGTCTCACTCTGTCACCCAGGCTGGAGTGCAGTGGCACCATCAAGATTCACCGTAGCCTTGACCACCTGGGCTCAGGAGATCCTTCCACCTCAGCCTCCCGAGTAGCTGGGACTACCAGCCTGTGTCACCATGCCTGGCTAATTTTTTAAATTTTTTTTTGTAAAGACTAGGTCTTGCTTAGTTGCCTAGGTTGGTCTCGAACTCTGAGGATCAAGCAATCTTCCCACCTCAGCCTCCCAAAGTGCTGAGATTAAAAGCATGAACCACTGCACCCGGCCCAAATAGCTCTCTAAATACCAAGCTCTAGGCCTATGATATCTAGAGGAATATATCATCAGGCATCTCACACGTAAAATGCTCAAAACAGAACTAATATACACCCACAAATCTACTCCTCCCTCCACTTTAGTGAGTGGTAATCCCACTGTCTCAGGACTTAGGCCTACAGTCTTCAAAGCCAGCCAACTTCTCCCCCAGTAAGTCAGCACGCCTGGGAGTGCTGCCTGTGTAATGTCTTCTCATCTTTTGCTACCGCATGACTGTCACCATTTAGCTGTGTCTCTGCCTCTGTCCCACTGCCTTCCTACACAACACCGCCAGTGTCCTCTTCTCAAATCAAATTTGATGGCTTCACACATCCAGGCTCAAAACTTCCTATGGAATCACAGAGAGTGAAAATGCCTCATTCTGATTCAAAGCCTTCGCTGACAAACTGACCCCATTATTCCCTATATCGCATTTCAAATACCGTAGGAGCTACTCTGACAGTCCCAAATTAACTTGTCTTCCCAACTGTACCGTCCCTCGCCTTAGGCACCACACCACCGCCCAACACCTTCAATCTGCTTCTCCTTCCGAAAACAGGCCTCGCACACTCACCCCGCAGCTCTGTCTAAGCACTCCCTTTACCTATCATCACCCCTCTTGACTTAACACTTTTTGAGGGCATGGGACATTTCTTTTTTTCTAAAGCAGGATTTATTGAGAGGACAGAAAAGCTCCCACAGTGGGAGGGGACCCTAAAGGGTTGCCTACATGGAATATTTCTAATTCACTGATGTACTCGCATAGCTTAACACGGAGTCCAGCATTTAGCGAGGAGAAACAAATTCTTTACTGGATGAACTATTTTCTCATTTTGCCTTATATATCAGAGTAGTCAAAAAAACGCTTTGTAGATATTCAAAAAATGTTAAACTGAAAATCACACCTCACCCATGTGACCATACCATTTCATTTGCTATTCTTCTTAAAACAATGCAGCAAACATAAATTCTCTATTTAGTCTAAGAAGAAAAATTAACACCAAAAAACTTACTTCTCCTCTCCTGTCAACACCTTTTCTAGGTCTCTTCGGGGTGTCTGACCACCAGTGCTGCAAAAGTAGACAAGGACACACTAGGAATGTCAGAACCTTACCACCAAGCAAAAGAGCAAATTAAAATATCAAACTTCGACTGTAACTCGTTTCTTTAACACTGGATCAGGAAAAGTAATGCCTAATCTTTAAAAAGGACAACTCATTTAGGTACTCATTTATGAAACAGGTTTCAGTGCGGGTGAGCCCTAACTGCCATTATCCACAAGTAATGCTTCTGCCCTCCTGGACGCAACGATACCCAACGTATGATGCAAGTCACACCACTATAAATTTTTCCTTCTAGGAGCGCGGAAATGGGACCAAGGAGGCTGTTTTCTGCAAGGGGCTGGAAGAGCACGAGCAATCAGAACTGCGAGGGGCCACAGTTCATGGAACTGACCCTGAAAGGCCTTGTACAGGGAGAGAGCCCTCACCACACACTGTCCCATTTGAGCTAACAGGGTATCGTGAGCTACACAGACACATCAAGCAGAGGAGAGGAAGCCCCGTCACCCTGCAGGGCCCCTGGGACCCTGCCTGCAGCACAAGACTGAGTCGCAGCTGGCGGTGAACTCCCTCCGCTCCCGCATACCTGCTCAGTCTTCGTCGCTGAGGCATTTGCTCCAGATCTCTCTGCTCCCTCTCTTCTCTGGTCATTCCCTTGTAGTTTGAGGTGAGCCCAAATATAGGCCGAGACCATTCATCTGCGCCACGAGAAAAGCCAGCTGTTCAGTCTACAGGACAGCATTTCTGTTACCACTCTGTCTAGCAGTCATGACCATGTGTGATGGGACAGTCTCCGTATTTAGGGTATTCGTTCCTTAAAGATTCCAACATTTCAGGATCATTTACAGGGCAAACACAGTCTCATACCAGTGTCACACCGAACTACGGCTGATTCAGAAAATTTAAAAGAATAAGTTAAAGCAGTGATCATCATGGGGATTAAGAAGTAGTAACATAGGACCCGCTTGGATAGTCACCAATTAGCCTAGCTAGGCTGATGTGTCATAAAGACAGGCTAATTTCTTCTATCTTACATTTTTAAAAAATTTATTTTGAAGGCAGCCTAATTTCTAAGTTAGCTGAAAATAGAAAATCTTTCTATTTTCTTATCCTAACCCAAAACAAGCCCCCTTATTACCTGACAGATCGGTCTAATCTTTAAAAATAACATTTTAATAGTGCAGGTATAGAGTTTGTACTTCATTAAGTATAATGCTAAGATAATCACAAAATAAAGTACTACGTGCTCACTGTTTAGCCAACATCCAGAGGTGCCAAGTGATGTTTCTGCTCTGAGACATAGTGTAGCTTTTTTCATTTCATTAATTATTATTATTATTATTATTATTGAGTTGGAATCTCACTAGGTCACCCAGGCTGGAGTACAGTGGCACAATCACAGCTTACCACAGGCTCCAACTCCCGGGTTCAAACAATCCTCCCGCCTCAGACTCCCAAGCAGCTAGGACTACAGGCGTGCACCACGCCTAGCTAATTCTTAAAATTTTTTGTAGAGATGAGGTCTCACTATGTTGTTGTTGCCAAACTCTGGGCTCAAGCAATCTTCCCACCCATGAGTCACTGCACCTGGCCTAATGTAGTTTATTGCTGCATTATGAAACAAGAAAGGATCTTTATAGACAGAACATAGGTGTTGTCACACAAAGAAGAAAAAAGAGATTATTAGGGGGTCTACCTTATCTATCTTTTAAAACCACCCCACTGACTCCACCCCTGGATTCAGAATCACTGCTGTAGTAAGTCATGGATACCAGTGGGAATATTCGTCTCCTCTCAGTCTAAAGCAAGAGCAAAACAAAACAAAACAAAACCCCAAAGCTCTGATAATCTTAAAAATTCAATAGAAAAATAATTACTGTATTCAACTGTAGAAGTAGTTACTTTTTCAATCTAGCCCTGAAGTTTTAAAATTTCCTTTCCAACATGAAAAAACAGGAAGAGTTAAGGTGAAAAACAAAAACAAATAAGGATTGCATTTTTAAAACTGAAGGATTTTATAAACAATATGGTATCTGGTTAGAGGGATTTCAGTTAGACTCCTCTGCATTTGTCTGGTATCATTAAATAAGAACATGCAAAATGGTTTCTGGAGACCATTATGCAAACGGCAGTAGCAGCAGTGCCTACTATTTCTTGAGTGCTTATTATATGTTAGGCACAGTACTTTATACATATCCTCCCATTTAATATTTAAAAGAACCCAAAGAAAACAATTACCTCAGTTTTACGGAGGAGAAGGCCAAGGCTTAGAGTTTAAATCACTAGTTAAGGATATGCAGTAAGATAGGGGGCAGATATACAATCTGAACCCAGATGTGACCAGCTCCAGGGACTGCACTATAACTTTTCTCTATGCTCTTGATCCATGACTAGGAAATGCTCACTTTTACTTGCTGTATTAAATACTGGATCACATACTTAAATATGCTGAGAAGCAGTTTAAGCCTAAGAGAAAAAGTTGGTACCTGCAAAGAAGTTATTCAAAAATTTTTGATTCCACTTTGCTGACTCATTTAAAACAAACATGGGTACATGTCTTGCTCTATGTAGAAATAAACGCAACAAACAGAAAGCAAAATTTACATACTGATTAATTTCCCTGCCATGTCTTTGTTGGACCTTGACTCCTTGGGGTGCTTATAGAGATACATCACTGCTCGTCCAATCCCACTATGCTTCAGGGTCTCCTGGCTCACACTAGGCAGCTGGGGAACATAAACACACAGACACACATTAATCACTCAGAAGCTGGGAGTTGTGCTAATCTGCTCTAGAGCACCTTCAAGACCTAGATCATTCACAATAGAATAAAAAAGTCCATTTTCAAGATCTACAGACATAGAACACAAAGCGACTTTGTGTTCACACCACAAGATGGGAGTTCAGTATTACCACTGAGCTGAAATGAAACCTAACAATGTGAAAAAGTGTGACTAAGCCAACTCAGAAGTTAGCAGTTTAATACAGGAGTCAGCACAGACTTCAGAATCCAACAGATCTAAGACTGAACCCAAGCACAGTCGTCTTCTAGCTATGTTACCTTGGACAAGTCATTTAACATCTTTGAACCTTAATTTCCTCACCTGTAAAATAAAGACAATATACCTATCTTAGATTTACTGCAAGGAATAGGTGAACTAATACATATATAAAGCACATAGCACAGTGCTTGGCACACAGAAGATTCCTCAGGTACTCTTTCAGAAGTTAAGCATCTTGCCCAAGGTGTCACATTCACATAAGGTGGCCCAGCTCAAGATTCCAATGCAAGTTCACGTGACTCTGAATCTGGTGTTCTAATTCTAGTAGCTTCCCAAAACACATCTGCTACTGCCATTCTTCTCAGACTCTCAAGACACATCATAGCTGCTCCAAGATCTTTACCCTTCAATGCTATAGCTACAGTTTCTATAAGGTCTTCTGTCTCATTTTATTAGGTTACGTTCCTTTTTCCTGACCCCTCTTCTGGCTATAGCAGAGGTTATGACAACACAAACCACATCAGATAACTGCTAAAGAGCAAAAAGTCAAAAATTGTCTGCTTCTAACCTCTTGCAGAATCTTCAACAGCTCCTCCCGAATCTTTAGTGCTGGCAAACTCCTATCTGGTAGAGGTGAGAGCCATTCTTTAATGGCAGACATCACACCACTGTCAATAAAGGTTTCTTTAAGGTCCTGCCTGCAATAATATTTTTAAAAAGGTAAGTGTATGAATGTGGTTCTACTACATTTTCTTCTGACTTTTCTTACATATTTAGTGATGTTTCCAAAAACTGATTTAAAAAAGTTACTATGTACATTCAATATTTACACATATTCTGATTTAAAAGCAGTACGAAATTTAGTTCCTGTTTTCCAAAAACACATAGGCTTGACAAAGATAATTTGCTCAAAACAAAACAATCTCAAATTATACAAGATAAACGCTGATATGAATGGTACAGACAGAACAATGAGTTCTAATCATTTCAACTAAGAAAGTAATTTTATCTATGAGAATAGTGACTCTAAAAGAGTTTCATGTGGTGGTGAAGTGGGAATTTGTGCTATTCTCTGCAAGACCCCAAGGAGAATATCATTCTCCTAGCAGGAAAAAATCTTTTTTTTTTTTTGAGTTGGAGTCTCACTCTGTCGCCCAGACTGGAGTGCAGTGGCCGCTCCTGGCCACCGCAGCCTCGACCTGCTGGGCTCCAGCAATCCTTCCGCCTCAGTCTTCCGAGTAGCCGGAATTACAGGCATGCGCTACCACTCCCGGCTGATTTTTGATTTATTGTAGAGATGAGGTCTCGCCAAGTTGCCCAGGCGGGTCACGAACCCGCGGGCTCAGGCAATCCGCTCACCTCAGCCTCCCAAAGGCGCGGGATGACAGGCTGAGCCACCGAGCCCGGCTGGAAAAAAATCTTAACACCAATATTTAAATTCCATTTTATGAACTAGAATTAGTTATGTTTTGATAGAAAACATGAAATTATCTATGTTAAACTTGCCAGTTTTTCCTGTTGGAACAGAGGAAGCCATTTTCTAGCTACAGACGTTCTAAGTCATGCCAGTGGCTCACTAACGCACTAAACGCATTTCTTCTGTCAGCAAAAGTGGGCTGTGGCTTAGTGCAAAGAGAAAGCAAAGGTGCTCAGAACTATGAACAAAACAATGTAGATATTTGGTAACAAGGATTTACTAAGGAAGGATATCATTATTTCAGAAGGATCGACAGTTATAATGCAACAGGGCCATGTCAGCCTTCTACAACGTGTGCTTCGAGTGCAGCCTCCCAAGATTTGCTGCTTACAATCACGGTGGGAAAACAGATACAATCTTCACAGATTGGGAATACAGATACAACTGTCACAGACCCAAACCTGTCTGTAAAGAACAAAATTAGGAGTTTCCAAGCTTTTCTCTCATTAATATCCATTTTCTATTTGTTCTGTATACATCAGGCATCAAGGTTTAATATAAATTTATGAAAAAATAGAATTTAGGACATTTTATTTATTATTTTTCTATGAACTGACAGAAGGCCATCAGTATTTAATATCCCTAGAACATCAGCACATCATTTGAATTATCATTCCATTAAAAGGAAAATACCTGTTTCAAGAAAACAAAATACTTACTTCTTCAGGTGCATAACCACAGTAGGTAACAAAGTTAATTTTTTCAGTGCTGGTTTTTTCTGGTTGTTCAGCTGTCTGTCTTCCTATTCAGAAAAAAAAAAAATTAAAGCAGAGGGGGAGGGGGAAGGGAGAAGGGGAAAGAGAAGGAAGGAAGAAAAAGAAAGAAAAGAAAGAAAGAGGGGAAGAAAAGTATCTTAAAGGTAGTTTAAGTAAAGGTTGAGCATCAAAAAAGAAGTACCCAAGCAACTGAGTGGGGTAAAGAAAAGGTGAACCTGGAAGTGACCCATCTCACCTCAGCAGCTTCATTCATCTTGACAATCATTGCGCTCACAACGTCGTCTGCGTCGCTAATAAAGGTGCCCCCATCACGGTTCCGCCTGCGCTTGCCACTCATGCTCTTCTTCCGCTGCAGCATCATCTCAAAATCCGACAGAAAGTCCATACTAAAGTAACAAAAATCAAGTGAAATCAAGCTTCCTTTTAAACACGATAACTTTGATCACAATTAAGAACACCACATTTCTTCATCCTAACTCAACGAAATGCTACGTTCTTTTAGAAGTGCAAGTACAGTCATAGGCCGCTTGACGCTATTTTGGTCAACGATGAGCTGCGTGCACGATGGTGGCCACCCACTAAGCTAGAGGTAACTTATTATTAAAAATATGCATATTTATATTTATATCACAAACTTAATGCAGCCTAAATGTGCAGTGTTCAGAAAGTCTGCAGGAGCTGCACACTAAACGTCCTAGGCCTTCTCATCCACTCAGCACTCTCTGACTCACCCAGAGCCCCTTCCGGTCCTGCTGCAAGCTCCATTCATGGTAAGTGCCCACACAGGCATACCATTTTTTATCTTTTATACCATCTTTTTACTGCACCTTTTCTATGCTTAGCTACCCATTGTGTTACAACTGCCTACAGTATTCAGTGCAGCAACGAGTTGTACAGGATTGTAGTCTACGAGCAATAGGCTGTACCATTTAGCCCAAATAAGTAGCAGGCTATACCACCGAGGCTTGTGGAAGTATACTCTATGACGTTCACACAGTAATGAAATCGCCTAATGCCATGATTCTCAGAATGAATTCCTTCTGTTAAGTGACGCATGACTGTACTTACAACTTGCTGTTAAAAGAACGGATGATCCTACACTTCATTTTAGGTTCCTGTAGTGTTATACATTAATCAGTAATAGTCCTAAACGTTTCATACATTATATTTACACCTGCATCTATCAGCTTAAGGAGGAGTATTTCAAGTTCTCAATCAGGGGACTCATTCAAAAGTAGTTGCCCTGCTTGGTGCTGAATTACTTGAACGTAGGAACAAGTGAAAAAATAAAACTGCTTTTCAGTGATAAGAGGTGTAACTCTAAAAACATGTGACTAACATAAAAAAGGACATCTATAGGCTTGCTAAGAGTCTCAATCTTTTATGGCTTTCTTGAGAATTATTACTTAAAAGAGGGTGTTAAGTCATTCTGTTTCCAATTCAGCTTCCAAAAGTAATGCCAAACTGTTTTAGTTTAATTCTTGCATGCCACTAGGAATTGAAATAAAAACCTTTTTTTTTTTTTGAGATGGGGAAGGGTCTCACTCTGCTGACCAGGCTGAAGTGCAGTGGCACAATCACAGCTCATCACAGCCTCCTGGGCTCAGGTGATCCCTCCATCTCAGCTCCCCGAGTAAATGGTACCATACCCGGCTAATTTTTAAAGTATTTTTGTAGAGATAATGTCTTGCTATGTTGCCCAGACTGGTTTCTAACTCCTGGGCTAACATAATCCTCTTCTCTTGGCCTTCCAAAGTGCTGGGATCACAGGCATGAGCCACAGTGCCCAGCCTTAAAAAAAACCACTTTTTAAAGCATTATCATTCAGTAACTAATCATTCTACTCTTTTATGACACCTTTCAAAATCTCAAATTTTCTGAACAGATTCCCGCTATCCAACAAAAGTGAAATACAATCATGTATTATTCTGAAGTTAAGACTTTTCTCCCCATCTCCTTTTATCAGCTTTTCTCTCAAAAAGACTATTTTTAAAATTATTTCTTGGTGAATCATAGATTAAGAGGCTGGTGCTATATAACTTTATAAATTAAGACAACTGAGTACATAGAAAGTGAAAGAAAAAAAAACAACAGTAAATAATCCGCCCACAACGTTGTATATAGAGAAGTAAAATGGACAAAAACTCTCTCTTAAACTTAATAGGACCAAAATGAAAAAACAAAAGACAAGGTTTAGTAGTCTCTAACTTCATTTTTTAACTTCTCTTCAACAAACTCCTGAAAACAAACAAACTTACTGTTTTCCTCTCTTTATGTTATCATCAGAATCTGAATCTTCAGCTTCTTTTACCTGTGTTTCACCTTTTTCTTCTTCCAGATCTTCCTGATTAAAACCCTAAATGCAGAGTGAGTTAGCCAAAGTTATCATGACCTTACAGATATTCTTCTGTATAAATTTTTTCTTTTGTATAATTCTGTTAATTTTTTTCATTTTTAAAGTAATACATTCACAAAGAACAAAAATCAAATAGGGAGCAAAAGGCATATAGCAAGATAGTCTTACCATATTTCTTGAGTTTCCTTCCAGAAGTAGTCTACATTTATATAAGCTTTTTAACACACATGTACTCAGTATCCCCTCTTATTAAGCAAATAGCAGCATAGTATTCACAGTGGGTATGGAGTACTGCTTTGCATGTTCCAAGTTTAATAAGAAAATCTAATTAAGTAATCCCATTCTTTTTAAAGCTTTAGACTATTTTCACCATAGGGTTGTCACCATAATTCGTTTACATATTTGCCTAAGGACATTTAGCTTCATATATTTGAAATTCTGAGAAATATTTGCCAAATTATCTTCCATAGGTTATAAAAATCACCTCTCCTTTCAGCAAAGTATAAGGAAGTGCACCTTCTTACTACTGTAGCCATTTTTCAAATGTTGATATCCACCAATCTCTGGACCAAAACACAAAAGGCATCTCAGTGAGGCTTTATTTGTATTCACCGAGAGTAAGGTTGAACATTTTTTCATGTTACAATGCCATTTGTAATTCTTTTTCTGTGAACTTTCAACACCTATGCTCATTTTTTTGGTAGGCTATTCATTTTTTTGTTACCAGTATATAAAATCTCTTTAAAAACTAGAAATAGTCCTCAATCACAGAAACTGTACAATCCCTATATTTGTACCACTTTATTTTGTTTATATTAATGTTTGCTAGGCATAATTTTTCATTTTATGTAAATGAAATGGCCAGTCTTTTCTTTATAGCTCTAACTTTAATATTATACTTAGAGAAACCTTCCCAATGGTTCACCTAGGATGTTCATCTCACTGAACTGAAACTATAATCTTTAAACTAGTTAACTAGGTTAACTCTTCAAACTAGTTAAGTATCTTGTCATATAATGTGGAGTTTTACTGAGTGTGAGCTCCATGAGGATGGTGTCCAAACAGTCTCTTCTACATGGTGAAAGGATTTTTCCTTTATTTTTTCCTGGGGTTTACTTTGTCATTGTCCTATCATCGTGAATTAGATTCTCAATTATTCAACTGCCACTCTCTCTTGAGTTGGTAAAAAACAGTACTGATTTCTTTTTTGACTCATGAACTGATTAAATTAGCTTTAAGTTTCTGAGTGGTAAGAATGTTTTATTGGCTATTTTTATTATTAATTTTCAGTTTAATTGTATTGCATTCACAAAATATTATCTATGCTTTATAATTTTTATAAAAATTCGGTTTAAAGTTCATATGGAAATGAAAAGAAGCAAGAAAAGCAAAGGTGGTGCTGAAGACGAATAAGCTTGGAGGACATAAACAACCACCTATCAAGAGCTCTGTGCTAGGTAGCTGCAGTGAGCTATGATTGGGCCAATGCACTCTAGTCTGGGTAACAGAATGAGAGTCCATCTGAAGAAAAAAATCTAGCACCCTTTGTCTATTTATATTGTCTGTTGTTACTATTGTTTCCTTTTAATGTTATCTTATCATATCGCATATATGAAAATCTTAACCACTGTAATCAAACTTCTGAGACTAAGGTTCTTTAGCCTGCTATATGAGTCAAAGATGGCCAACATCTGAGCATAGGCCAACTCCTGCTCACCTTTAATCCTATGGTACTGCTCTTTGGAGCCTCAATGTGGGGAATGGGGTCTACAGGGTCGTCTAACCTCAATAGGCCTTGAACTCCAACTTTTACCTCCAAGTCTTGAGGATGTCAAAAATATGAGCAGTTTATCACCCCGACAGGAAAATATTCCCTCAGAAAAAGTTCTAAATGCTGAGTTACTGCTTTAGGTCTGTCTTTTAGCTTGGCAATTCTTTGTTAACTTTTTCCTAGATAATGAGCAGATTTCTAAATGCTTAGTCTAGTTTTTCTAGTTATCCTTAGCAGAGTTAGTCCAAATTACCAAGACTGCTCCTAGAAGAATCAGGAGTTCCCCAAATTTTGTGAATCTTGCCCTTCAGTATTATAAAATGCCTTTCATTATATCTTAATGTGCTCCTTCCACGTGAATTCAGTTTTCCCTTTATTTTTTCTTGTAAGCCATTGTGTAGCCCTTTATTTCACTTTCTGAACCTCTCTCTTGAATACATCATAGTTGCTTCTTCTTACTATGTTGGAAGCAACAACTAGAAACAACTGCTGCAGCCAGGCTCAGTGGCTCAGCCTATAATCCCACGACTTTGGGAGGCTGAGGTGAGTGGACTGCCTGAGCCCACGGGTTCGAGACCCGCCTGGGCAACTTGGCGAGACCTCATCTCTACAATAAGTCAAAAATTAGCCAGGCGTGGTAGCGCGCACCTGTAGTTAGAGCTACTTGGAAGGCTGAGGTGGAAGGATTGCTGGAGCCCAGCAGGTCGAGGCTGCGGTGGCCGGGAGCGGCCACTGCACTCCAGTCTGGTCGACAGAGTGAGACTCCAACTCAAAAAAAAAAGAAAAGAAAAAAGAAACTACTGCTGCAAAAACATTTAGACGAAATAGTTCCACCTTTTACTTACTGTAAACTCTTCTTCCTCTTCATCACCAGATTCTCCAAATATGTCTGCAATAAGATTTCTAGAAAAGGAACAAATATAAAAATACCCAATTGTTTTCTTCCCATTTGCACAGGAACCATTTTTTAGAATAGGGTATAACTTACACACAGTAAAATATGCAGTGTCCAGTTCAGTGAGTTCTAACAAATATACACACTCATGTAACCAGCAACCTAATCAGGATATAGAACAATACCTTCCCTCTGTAAGTTCCCTTCTGGTCCCTTCTAGCCTGTCCCCCAATATCCACATCCTAGAGATAACCACCATTCTGATTTCCATGACAACAGATTAGTTTTGCTTGTGAACTTCAAGGAAAAGAATTCGAACATGTCTTCTTTACTTTCTTTCACTTAAAATGCACTTTTTGAGATCCACCCAAGGTGCCATGTCTAGCAGTGGTTCAGGAACTAAACTCCTAAATCTACAAGTCATGCAATTATGCAGGACATATCATATTACACCTCAAATCTCTCTCCGCTGCCTAATTAAAAATCCTTGAAAACTCACGCTATACTGGCACTTACTCTTCTTCATTGCCCGACTCACTATCACTACCAAATAAATCCTTCTCTTCATTTTTCTTATCGGGTGATTCTTCTTTCCCTGCTTCCTCCTCACTGTCAGATGCTATAGTCTTCTCTCTTTTGCCTGATTTGTCTGATATGGCATCACTGTCAGAGTCATCTGCATCAGAGACAACACGACTCTTCTTTGCTGCTGCTGAAAAACAAAGCCAACATTCATCTTATTTTGTCACGGTTGTTGTATTACTAGGTATCACAGATACTTTAGAATGACAGTACATGGCAAAAAAAAAACCAAAAAAACGCACAATTTCCTGACATATGATCTACAATGAAAGAAAAAGGCTCATTCAGGTCCTATTACAAACTGTCATTTTGCTTAGGAAAAATGACCAACAAGTGAAGAAATACATCACCACTATAAAAGTGGGCAACAATGGTGGCCTTTCCTTCCATTGCCTAGTAATAGCAGAAATAAAAGACTAGAAAGTTCTTAGAAATAATTCCCAGCCAGGCTTGGTGGCTCGGCCTGTCATCCCAGCACTTTGGGAGGCCGAGGCGAGTAGACTGCCTGAGCCCGCGGGTTCAAGACCAGCTCCGGCAACTTGGCGAGACCTCATCTCTACAATAAAATAAAAATAGCTGGGCGTGGTAGCGTGCCTGTGGTTCTGGCTACTCGAAGGCTGAGGCGGAAGGATTGCTGGAGCCCAGAAGGTCGACGCGGGAGTAGCCGTGAGTGTGCGTGCCACTGCACTCCAGCCTGGGCAAAGGTGTGAGACTTCAAAAACAACAGCAACAACAACAAAAAAACGAAATAATTCTCAGGTTCTTTTATTGATGCTGGTCAGTTTGAAATTACTCATCTTCCTAAACAAACTGGCAGCATGTATAATACTCTTTTTCCTTCTCCTTACATAGCTGTCAGTTTCTAAAGGAATATGTCTTTTGCAAAAAAGATAAATTTCATTAAAAAGTAATCAAGGAAAAATTACGTGTGAAAATGATGTCTCAGGAAGCAAAGACTGGAATACTCTGCTGAGTATAAATAGAATGGTGACCCTAAATAGAATCCTTCCAAAGCATTCCTACATTTGGGTATTCAACAATGTTTAACAATAAAGACAGGTATCTGTGGGAGCTCAGTTATTGTTTGGACGGGACCTAGTGAATTAGTTGCCATACAGATCCACAGCTAACTCCAAATTTAGTCAGGGTTTTCACGTAAGCCTATTTCTTTGCACTATTACCCCATCCAGCTAAAAAAAAATTAAGTCGTATACTCCCACTGTCTCTGGGTTTAGCTTACTACTTTGAGGAAGTCAGAAATTAATAGGTGCTGCTAGAACAGCCTAAAGGAAATTTAACATTAAGCTCAGTCAAGGATAATGAGGGGAAACAAGTGTCTTATGACATTTCAGAACATCAAGCTGAAGCACACAGTGCAGATCTGTGTAACAGAAGACGACACAGTGCTTCACAGCTACGAGCTTAGACCACACGTGAAGCTGCTGATCCACGGCCCCAAAGAATTCCTCACATGCTTTCTCTTCGTCTTCACTGTCGAGCAGCACGGTGGCTTTTCGCTTTGCTACTTTGTCCTCCTCGCCCTCCTTGTCCTCATCTCCATCACTGCCAACCTTCGGCCTTTTGGGTTCTTCCTCCTCGCTGTCAGAACGGGGAAACGCTTCTCTGTCTGCATGGCTGTCTGAACGAAAGGAGTCCTTCGGCACTTCCGCGTCCTCTCCCCTGCTCTCCCCGTCACTGTCATCGTCGGACTCTGGCTTCTGCTTGTGTCTCGAGGTGTCCTCGGCGTCGGAGTCACTGGCAGGCCCCTCCTGAGGCTCCTCACTCTCGGAGTCGCTGACCCGGGGTTTGGGAGGCGCCTCGTTCTCGGAGTCGCTGGCCTGCTGCCTCCGGGGCTCCTCACTCTCCGAGTCGCTGACCCTGGGTTTGGGAAGCTCCTCGCTCTCCGAATCACTCATCCGAGGTTTGGGAGGCTCCTCATTCTCGGAGCCGCTGGCCTGGTGCCTCGGGGGCTCCTCACTCTCGGAGTCACTGGCTTGAGGCTTTAGCGCATCCTCGGCGTCAGAGTCACTGGCAGGACTTTTTCGGAGCTCCTCAACCTCAGAGTCACTGGCGGGATGCTTTCTGGCGTCTTCGCTCTCGGAGTCGCTGGCATGCCCGTTGAGAAGCTCCTCGTTCTCAGAGTCACTACCAGGCCTTTTCCTGGTCTCCTCACTCTCAGAGTCACTTCCACGCCGACCGACATCCTCGTTTTCAGAATCACTCACAGGGGGCTCTGCGTGTCCTTCGGATTCAGAGTCACTGTCCTTGGGCCTGTGCAGCTCCTCACTGTCAGAGTCACTGGCGTTCAGGTTGGAGGGCTCATCGTTCTCTGAGTCTGCCGCGTGACGTCTTTGGGGGAGGCCATCCTCTCGATCGCTAGGTTCATTCTGGAAAATAAAGTGAAAAAATTAAGAAAGCACAAACAAAAATGATAGTGATGTGTTAAAATTTTTCAGCAACTTTTTGAAACATGGGAATGTGTGCACTTAAACGTAGTTTTCTTTTTTTGAGTCAGAATCTCGCTCTGTCACTCTGACTGGTGTGCAGTGGCACGATCATGGCTAACCGCAGCCTCGACCGCCTAGGCTCAGGAAATCCTTCCACCTAAGCCTACCGAGTAGCTGGGACTGCAGATGTGTGCCTCCATTCCCGGCTAATTTTCTGATTTTTTGTAGAGACAAGGTCTCACTATGTTGCCTAGGCTAGTGAATGTAGCAGCATTCTTAACCCAGAGCTATCAAGAAACACCCCACAGGAAACCAGTCTCTGAAATGGTTAACACGACATGGTTCCCAAATGGAGAAAAATAACCAGCCTCTCCAAAACAAATTTGTAAAGCACACCCCAGCTGACTATAGGAGACTAATTATAAAGAGCTAAAATAAAAACTAAAAAAAAAAGCCTTTCTCAGACATAAATCTATTTTGTAAAAATCTAACTATATCTCTCAAAGAAATACAAGTACACAGGTAACCAAGTTCTTTTACATAAGAACATTCTTGGGCTTCATAAATTAAAATTACTTTAGAGGAGAGAACTATAAAACCTTTATTTAAAGAGTCAAATAACATACAGGGCACACTGTACCAAGATAACTTAAACAGGTGAGCAAAAGAGGAGTTAACATCTCCTACGCACCTACTAAGAGCCAATGCCAGGTTAGTCCCTCCTGTTAGTTCACTTATCCTTCACAACAGTATTTCTCGTGATATAAAACTGAGGCTTACAGTAGTCAAGTATAATCACCCTGGATATAAAGCCCAAGTTTTAGGGAGAACATGACTCCTCTAACCGCACTAACGCATAATGTCATCTGAAATAGTTACTCTGAAAACATGTTCTAGGGTACAAACTTGTTATATGCATATTATAGCTAACTTTCTTAAAAATGCAGAGAAAATATACACAGTTAAACATATCAAAATACTAACAAGTATTTTAGGATCTGGGGAGTCTTTTCTCTACCTGGTATTTCAACTTTCAATAACATGGTGATAAAATTCTGGCTTAAAAAGTGAAAGTATTTGTGGTGAGTATTCCCCCCACGAAAATTTACTGAGCCAAGTATTTCTCTTTGGAACTGAAGCTACATGAACTTACTACAGATCAGTTTTCAAGGACTTTAAAAAGGCTTTAATAATGTATATGCCCAGCATCATGCTATGAAACAGTCAGGTTACAAGAGAATTCTTCCCATGACAAGGCAAATGGTAAGAAACTGTTTTAAATAAAATCCATACTTTAACTTACCCAAGTATGCATGTCTGTACCTTCAAAAAGAGCACCAAAAACTATAAAATAAACAAGACTACAAAGCAAACATTTGAGGAGTTTTTGTTTTTTGACAGCATAGCATTCCAAAGAAGCAGTTATTGCTACACATATTCACTGAAATATAGTATGTTCAGGCAACTTTCCAAAAGCACAAACTTTAAACAATCTCCAAAGGCATTTTTCTTGAGTGCTCCCTGGGTACTCAGCACAGCACTGTACTAGATGCCTTGTCCATCAAACATCCAATTCTCCCCCTGAAATGGACATTTACCAATTAAATGTGATATTAGAACTGGAGGGATAACATAGAACCTATCCTATCTGCACAATGACACAGCACAATATTCCTTATGTTAAAAAATTTAATTATCTAGAAGGTAAGCTCTAGGAAGACAGGCATCTTTTGTAGGGTTTCTTCTCTGAGATATGCCTAGAATGGTCTGCAGCACGCGCGCGCGCACAAACACAGTATAGGTTGAGCACCCCCATCAGAAAATATGAAAAACCTCAAAAGCTGAAAACTTTTCAGCCTTGATGTGGTGCCACAAGTGGAAAGTCCCTGACACAAACTTTGTGTCACGCACAAAATTATTAAAAATAAGGTATAAAATTACCTTCAAACTGTATCTATAAGGTATATATGAAACATAAATGAACTTTGTATTTAGACTTAGGTCTCATCCCCGAGATAGCTCATATGCTGATAGCCTAAAATTCAAAAACAAATCCTAGATCCAAACACTTCTTGTTGGTTGCAAGCATTTCAGGTAAGGGATACCCAACCTGTATTTGCTAAATGAATAATGAAGGAGTTAAGTGGTAATAATAAGAGAAGAATCATTAAGTCAACAAGAATTTATTTAATGTCTTCTATGTCCACAGTGCTAAGAATCAAAGCTGAGTATGCCTCAGTGCCTGACCTCGAAGGTGCTGTTATCTCACAAGAAGCCAGCCATACCCTGACAATGTAGTATGACACATGCATATGACTGAAAGTCTACAGGAAGTGCACATCTATATGAAATCGAGCTGCAAAAGGAATGCAGACAACTGGCATCACTTAGCTTGTGATGGCTGAGTTAAACAAGTAACTAGATTGGGAGGCTAGGGTAGAGGCACACGGTACTAGCAGAGGCAACTAAAGCAAAAGGCAAAAGAGGAAACTAACTGGCTTTTGGAATGCTCTCCATGACAGACTCATCACACAATTCTAATGCCATGCTCATTGATTTATTTTACTTGTGAACAACAGAAATAATCTCTGGCTAGGCAGAGGAAAAAAAGAACAATCGTCTCAGAATCAAAGCGAGATGAATGACTAAAACTCGGGAAGGAGGCTGTGGGTGGTAGCTCATGCTTGTCACCCCAACACTTTGGGAGGCCAAGGCAAGAGGATCACTTGAGGCCAGGAGAGCAGCCTGGGCAACATAGTGAGACCGTCTCTACAGATTCCTTTTTTTTTTTTAACCAGCCTGGCATGGTGGCATGTGCCTGGAGTCCTAGGTACTCAGGAGGCTAAGGTGGAAGGGCCCCTTGAGCCCCAGAGTTCAAGGCTGTAGTGAGCTATGAGTGCATTACTGCTCTCAAATCTGGGCAACAGAGCAAGACTCTGTCTCTAAAAAACAAATACATTTTTAAAAGATGGAGGAAGGGCCGGGCTCGGTGGCTCAGCCTGTAATCCCAGCACTTTGGGAGGCCGAGGTGAGTGGATTGCCTGAGCCCGCAGGTTCGAGACCCACCTGGGCAACTTGGCGAGCCATCTCTACAATACATCAAAAATTAGCCGGGCATGGTAGCGCACACCTGTAGTTCCAGCTGCTTGGAAGGCTGAGGCGGAAGGATCGCTGGAGCCCAGCAGGCTGAGGCTGCAGTGGCCGGGAGCGGCCACTGCACTCCCATCTGAGTAACAGAGTGAGACTCCAACTCAAAAAAAAAAAGATGGAGGAAGGATAAGAACCAATATATCTCAGAGAGCTTAGAATAGAGAACTCAAGGATTTTTTCTCTAGAGTACCACCAATAACATAACTTAGCTCTAACCATGCTAAATTTCAGTGTCTAGAACCTGGATTTTAAATGCCCAGGAGAGACAACCTAGCTGGCCAAGGCAATATCAGATGTTCTGACTCAATCAGTTGTAGCCAGAGCAGGGGTGCAGCTCCTGGAGCCACTCCCACAGAAGGGAGAGACACCACAAACGTGGCTGTCATCCCCAAACCGATCTGCTACACTCTACCCTGGGTTTCCTGATGCCTGGTATGTGTTCTAAAACAAGCAACCATCACAAGGACACTGCATATAAAAATGGTTGTGAAACTTACAGATCGTCAGGGATTTTTGAGGCGTTTTATAAAAACATGGCCTTATGTGTGGCATGGTGGGGCAAAAAAGGGGAGAAACATGCAGTAAGAAAGTAACAGTTTGACAAACTGAAGCTCAAAAAGACATTTAGGCAGTGACATCACAGAATCTGAGAAGAGTATGTTAGAAATCACACAGTTAAAAGTTATCGAAACAATATTCAAAATTTTTTAGAATTGTTTCAGCAATTAAAGTACAACCTTAAACTCCAAAGCAGTTTTAAAAATGTCAGACGAGTATAACAAATTAACAGCAGAAACTGCCATCAAATGTCAGTTCTTAATTGTGTACGAAATGCCCTACTTCTAACTAGAAAGCGACCACTCTGAGGCTGCTCTCTGCGGAGGGTGACCACAGACAGGCCGCAGGGGACCTGCCTCACCCACACACAGACAGGAAAACCAATGAGATGAAAAATCTCAAAGGGCCTAATACAGATTGTGGCAGCAGACAAGGAAAGCATACTGTGTTTCTTTGGGAGTTAAATCAGGTGAGGACTAAACTCTGATCTTTTTTTTCTTATCCAAATTCATAACTAAGAGGCTTTGGGAGTCACGCCTGATACGGACTCTTCACATGGCTTTTTATTACCCTATTGCCCTAGATATTGAACTTTGTTTTCCAACCTGACTCTGGCATTAACATCACACAACAGATAAAGAAGAAAATCAAAGTATTTTATGACTCTGCATAGTAGTCTCTTGGGGACGCCCAGATTGCAGGCACCCAGCAAGACACTTATCTATCTTTTCTGAAGCCTACTACATAAGGACTTCATCTACCCATCAAGAAACTTGGACATCCCCTCCTCTCATCCCAACAAGGCATCTCCTCTACCAATTTCCAAAATTCCTTAGCTAGGTGCTACAAATTGCCAGTCAAGAAATCCTTGAATCCACCTATAACCTGCGAGACTCCCTGCTACCTTCTTCGTGGAAATGTCCTGCCTTCCTGGGTGGAACTAATGAAAATCTCATATATACTGACTCACGTTTTTTTGGTAACTTTTGCTTTCCTAAAATGTATACAACCAAACTAATTCAACCAGGCTGGCAAAGCTCTCAAGATTTTTTATGGCTACATCTTGGGCCTGGTCACTTATATTTGGCTCACAAATAAACCTGTTCAGGCATATCTGGCCGAACTTAGAATTTTTGTGTTATAATGTGGAAAGGTTTGGCCAATCGGCGAGAGAGATAAAAATGAAGTCAAATGAAGACTTCTGACATCACAGCATGAGAAAGTCTGCTGAC